ACCACTTTCCAACCGACCATTATTGACCACATTTGGAAAACAACAACAACGTTATCAATAATCTATGATCGATGAAACAATTGAGATCCAGCTTCTTTTTCAGTTTGTTGCAAAAATAGTAATATAATGTAAGAAATTGTCACATTTAAATGTTAAAAAAGGCTGGTAGAATGATATATATCTTTAGAATTTAATAAGTAATTAAAAAATAAATAAGTGATAATTCTTTAATTTTCTTTATTAAAATTAAAAAATTTTACTATCAATGTATTTAAATGATTTCTTCAAATATATGTTGTTAGCCAAAAACAAATGTAATCATCAATGCTTTGATAAAAAAAAAAAATGAAAATGGATAAAGTTGTCAAATTAAGATGAACAAGTAGATATTAGAAATACATCTCTACTTAAATTGCACTAAGATAAATTATTGAGAAGATTCAAATTTGAAACCATTTAATAAAAAAGATGGATAATCTTATCAATTAAGTAAATTTGTGTATCGAGCATTCAATTCAATGACCAATGTTTTTTTTTTTTTTTTTTGGTTGGAAGAGCTGAAATAGAATCTCCCTATCCTTTAATATCAAAGAAAAAAATTATACCAATTGTTATTGACATACCGTGATCATCTAATTTATTCTAAATCTTGCCATTACTATAGGTATTCAATGAATAAGTCATTACAAACGCTGTCAAAGTTGCCATTCGAAACCAACTAAGCAATAACTGTCCTAAAAGAGATACTATTAAAAGAGTGATGATACTTTGGTCTCATATGTTGATTGATTTATGACTTTTGAGAACCAACTTGGTTCCAGCTCTTTCTTAGTTTTGATTTTTTTTTTTCTCCCTTTTCTCTCATATTGGGGTTGGCTTTTTTAACATTGAGTTGAAAAACCATAATCAACTCATATAAAATTAGATGGAATTTTCAACATTAAGAAACAGAAAAAAAAAAAAAAAAAAAGAATAACCTAAAGATTTGGATGAAGTTTTGCCCATTGTACATTATAATTTAAAAAAGAAAAAAATTGGTACGTGCTTTTTTAATATATATTTTTGGTAAAAAAATGACTTTTTTTTTCAATAAAGAAGAGTTATAGATATTATAATTTGAATTTCAAATTTATTAAGCATTACTTTTTAAAAATAATTACATAAATCAATTGAATTAAATTTTAGATTTACTTTACTAATATTTGCTTTATTAAAAAAAGTGTTATATAGTCTTTTTTTTAATAATTTTTTTGAGATGAGTAATTAATTATATTTTTTCTTGAATAATAGTAAAAGTAATGTCTTTCTCAATATATGCATTTCTTTTTTAATTGTATTTTAAGGATGGATTCTAATGTCTTTGTAGAAAAAATAAAATCCAAAGTTTGAATTCATTCATCCCTTAATTTCTTCACTTGTGTTAAAAATTTTATAAAAGTAGCATTAAAAAGTTCTAAATAGACATGGAATGGTATAAGGGCCAAAATGTTACTAATGTATAAAATTTCTTATAATGATTGCTATATGCATGGGTTTTGAAATTTTTTTTTTTAGTGCAATGAAAATAAGTGAAATTAAAATTTTAATATGTTATTGACAGATTACAAAGTCATTGATAATATAATTATTTTTTAAAATTTATTAAATGATCCAAATTCAAAAGTATGATAAAAATAAACCTAACATTTAAATGATATAAATTTAAATACAAAAATTTAATATTATACCTCCAAGCCTTTTGAATTGATAATCTTTTAAACCTTTTAGCATTTCTCTAACAATTTCCCCCAAAGACTTGGAATAAAATTTTTTTTCTAAACTCTAAAATATTACAAACTTATTATTTTTTAAAATTCTTTATCTTTATATTTACTTGATTAAATAAAAATATTACACAAATTTTTTCCATCTCACGATGCTCAAACATAAGCTCCAATGTTGTTCCAACTCATATTAGAAAAAATGCAACAGAGAATACCTCGGGAATTGGAACTTCCCTTCGGTTGGAGCAAGAAAAAGGAGATGAAAAAGCAACATGCACATGCAAAGTGATCGGAAAATCGCCATTTTTGGTGGACTTAACTGTCTTTTCCTAGTGCCAACCAACCCTTAACTGCTGTCATTATTATTGCTCCGTGCTTTATACCGCCCGCCTTAAACTACAATTTAATTAAAGGTTTAAAGTTTTAATTATATCAAAATATAATTCATTAGAATTGGCTTAGTGGGATGTAAACACTCAAAGTACTCATGTTAGATATGTCAATTGCGAGAGTTAGGTTAAATTTGGATTGATCAATTCGGTTTAGATCATTCTAAGTTTAAAAGAATCAGATTAATTTTTGGTTGAATTATGTTGGTTTCAAATTGTTCTGAGTTAATTTGAATCATTTTGGATTCAGATCATTTTAGATTTAGATTATTTTTTATTCGGATCAATTTGAGTTCAAATTATTTTAGTTTGGATATTTTGAGTTTAACACCCAAATAAGTTGGGTTTGGATTATTCAGATTTAATTTATTAATTTTTAGAATCAAATTTGATTAAATTTAAATAGATTATTTGATCAATTTTAAGTCATATTTTATTATAATTTTATTAAAAAATATAAATATAATATAAATATAATATTATAATTTTTATGCTTTAAATTAAAATTAATTTTTATATAAATAACAAAATATATGATTATATTAGACTTGATAAATTTAAATACAATACGATAATATACATCAAAACGAGATAAAAAAATTATGAGTTTTAGAAAAATGTATTTCATATTTTGTAGTACTAACACAAATTTTGACACATATAAAATATGAAAAATACATTTAATTAAACTATAGTATACAATTACATGTATTAAATATGAGAAACATGTTTGTCACATTTAACACTATTAATAGTTTTTTATATTTATTTCAATTTAACGTAAATATATAAAAACTATTTTAAACTTTTAATTATAATACAAAATAATATATTTAATATAATCATATAAAAATTATTTTGAATTTTAGTATAATTGTATCTCATTATATAATTTATTCTAAAATACATTATTATAAGTTAATAACATAATTATAACATAAATATAATGAATATACACAAATCAATGCCTTGTTTTATATACTTTATTTTAAATCATATAATAATTGTACCCATGTATAATTATAAGGTATTATATAATTTATTCTAAATGATATACTGATATGTATACAAATAATAATTAAAAATATATAATCTATTTTAAATCATATTATAAATTATAAGAAATTTTATAAGTAATATTACATATATAATTTATACTAGTTTGATATTAAAGACATATATTAATTTGATATTTTCAATAATTTTAATAATTAATCATTTGTGTTATATTTATTATTTTTATTTGTACTATATTTATTGTTTTTATTATGCATAATTAAATCTCGGATTAATTTTTTGAACCATTTCGATTTTGAGCCATTTCGAGTTCAAATCATTTCAAGTTTGAACCATTTTGGTTTCAAGTTAATTTGGGTTCGAGTTGTTTTCATTTTTGGGTTGGATGGGTTCATGTTGTTAAGTTTTTATGGTCAATTAAGTTGAGTTGGGTTCCGATTTGGGTGAGTTGAAAGGTTTTTCGGGTTTAAGCTAGAATTAACAGGTCTAATTGGGTCATTTTGATTTCGAGTTGTTTTGAATTCAGGTCATTTCAGATTCCAACCAATTTTGGTTTAGATGTTTTAGGTTTACAACCTAGGTTATTCGAATTCGGCTTGTTCGGGTTCAATTTATTAATTTTTAGAATCAAATTAGATTAAATTTAAACAAATTATTTGATCAAATTCAAGTCATATTTTATTATAATTTTATTAAAAGATAAAAAATTAAAAATAATATTTTTAAAATAAATATAAATATTGTAATTTGTATGCTTTAAATTAAAATTAATTTTTATATAAAAGAAAAAATATATGATTTTATTAGATTTAACAAATTTAAATACGACACAATAACATATTATCAAAATGATATGAGAAAATTGGTTTTAGAAAAATGTATTTTATATTTAGTAATATCGACACAAATTTTGACATGTATAAAACAAAGAAAATACATTTAATTAAATTATACTATGCAAGTATATGCATTGAACACGAGAAACATGTTTGACACGATTAAGAGTTTGTATATTTATTTTAATTTAATATAATTATAACATAAACATAAAATACATATACACATTAATAGCATATTTTATATGCTTTATTCCAAATCACATAATAATTGATACTAATATATAATTATAAGATATCATATAATTTATTTTAAATAATATATTGATATGTATACGTATAATAATTAAAAATATATAATTTATATTAAATCATATGATAAATTAGAAAAAATTTTATAACTAACATAACATATATATAATTTATACTAGTTTGGCATTAAAAACATATATTAATTTGATATTTTCAATAATTTTAATAGGTCATCATTTATGTTATGTTTATTATTTTTATTAAATTAATACTTTTAAATAAAATTATACTTAACTTAATCTTAGATTATGTTGGTTAATTTTTGAATTATTTTAAGTTCGAATCATTTTATTTTCAAATCATTTCAGATTCGAACAATTTCAGTTTTGAATTAATTTAAGTACGAATTATTTTTAATTATTGGGTTTTAATTCAAATAATTTATGTGGTTTTCCGAGTTTGGGTTAGAATTGACTAGTCTGAAACATGTGCTTTGTCACTTACTTGACTGTCTAGTTAACTACCCTTTTATTTAACATAAAATAGGTTATTGGAGCTTTTAGTTTTATTTTAATTTTTGCTCAATTAGTATAGGCATTAAAAGCATAAGAGAAAAAGATGAAAATACGTTTTCTTGAGCATTTGTTTGATATAAATTGATGAAAATTTTGGTGAACAAGGGATCAAAATCCCCAATCCTCAACTGCCAGTTGTGATAAATCAAGTGGTTCAAGTACTAAAAACAATAGGTAGACAGCTCAGTATAACAAATCCCAAACCTTTATGCTTTTACACGTTATCCTAACGGTTGCTTTTGCTGGCTACACGGATTTTCCTACCACCTGTTCAAAACTCGACCTAGACAAAAGACAATTACTAAAATTTCATAAAATTTTGCACCTCACACAAAGAAATATCAGCCTGTTAGCCTTAACCGCCCATTCTTTGTCTTCCTCTAAGCCACCCCTACCCATATTTTGTTTTACCAAGACAAGGAAAGAAGAACAAGAGATAAGAGAATTTGATGAAGAAGAAGAAAATTGATGAACTAAGGTTGTAAGTTCATCAACTTCTTAATCAAATTTCTCAATATCTTTCTTTGTGTTTTGGTGTCTTTTCTTTCAAATCCCAAACTTAAACCAGATTTGTTGTTTGGTTTTTTTCTTCACCTTATTATCTTCAAAAGAAAAAGGAAAAAAAAAACTTTTTCAGAGTTTATTTGGATATGGGTCTTTGTATCTGGACATTATCTGAATAAATATTCACTAGGTGTAAGAAACGTATATCAGATATCATTAACCCCACCACCATCTTCCTTCATTCATCTGTTTCTGGATGCATAAACGATTCTTATAACATGACACCTGTTTAGGTTGTCCGTACGGTTTAGTTCTTTTTCTTACAAAAGAGAGAGAGAGAGAGAGAGAGAGAGGGAAGCTTTGGTATAACTAGTTGAGCTTTCTTTTGGGGTTTTGGATTCGTTGAGGTTACTTTTCTGGTACCAAACTTTGATGAAAAAAAGGGGCGGAGAAAATTTTTATTCTGATCAGACATTGACAAGGGAGGCCCACCTCCGGGGTTTGGTGGGCTTTCATAATTAGCCAATAAAACCCTTCTCTTTCTATATTTTTTTCAATCAAAGTTGGGTCTTGTTATTGTTTTGAAGATCCCACTTAGTTTTTGAGGGGAAGGGTGAAAGAAGAGGAGAGACAATTGGGTTTCTGGCATTGATTTTTTTTTTTTTGCCTCATATCGATTGAATTTGGACCCATAGAAGAATCAACCTTCTATTTTTTGGAATGCTACTTTACTTCTTCATCACTTGTTTTCCCTTCATCTTCTTTTTAAAGTCCTTAACTTTGAAACGGTTCCCACCACGGGCAACCGAGATGAGATTATTGTCTCTCTGGTTTTGGAAAGAAGTTTCTTTTTTTTCCATTTCCAAGTTTATCAAAAATAGCACAATCCCTTCCAGAATGTGTCTAACAAAGATGTCTTTCACTTCAAAAGTTGATAACTTTGAGGAGGTTAAAGAAGAAGAAGGCTTGATGTCAATTTTGGACTTACCAGAATTGGTCTTAGAATGCATTCTTGAAAGGCTACCACCTGCTGGTCTTTGTAGTATGGCAGGTGTTTGCAGTTCTTTAAGAAGTAGGTGTAGTAGTGATCATTTCTGGGAGAAACATATGAAGAAAAAGTGGGGTAGAATTATTGGTCCAGCTGCTTATAGAGAGTGGCAATGGCATGTAGCTTTAAGAAAGCATGCAAGTCATGTAAAACAGGAGAAGCCAAAAGGTTTGTTTAGGATTTTATCAATTTTTAGGCCATTTTGGTGGATTCAATCAAAGGTTGATGATAGTAGTAAGCAGAGTTCTTTGCCAGATGATTCAATCATGTCTTGGTTTCTTGCTCTTGAAACTGGCAGATTCTGGTTCCCTGCTCAGGTCTATAACCGTGAGGTATTGATCTTGAACCTCCAAATTCCAGCTGGTAAATCAGCTAAACATTTATGCTAATTCCAATTTATTAAGCAGAGTCTATGCTGTTTTTTCTTTTTTTTTTTTTTTGCTAATTTTGTTTCGTTAGTAAATTCTTTGTTCTGCTGTTTTGTAGAATGGCCATGTTGGGTTTATGTTGTCATGTTATGATGCAGAACTCAGTTATGATCCCCGTACTGACACCTTCCAAGCCAGGTAATTTCGGAGATGAACATAATTTTGATGGTGGTATTTTCATTTTGAAACTTTGTCATACTATGTCCTGGCAGATGAAATTAGGTTCTACATCAAAGGATCAAAATAGGCCTAATGCTTGGAAACACGACTAGTGGCGGATCTAGGATTTTTTCAGAGGGTGTCCACTTATAATATATATAAAAACCTGATGATGGATTTATCACTTTTGTCAATGGAAATGATGTCTAGAGAAAATTTTTTGGGGGTGTCTAAGAAAAAATTTTCCTTCAAATTTTCTTGATTTCCAATTTTTGAGGATGTCCATGGACACCCCACCTTCAAGCAAGGATCCGCCAATGAACACAACCATTCTTCTAAATTAATCTGATGGATTGATATTAGATTGGTTTGATGATTTTAGGTACCCTCCACATGGAAGGAGGGCTCTGGCCATAGAGAATAGCGTACCTTGGGAAAGGCTAAGAGCACCACCTGTTGATACTTCACCACATGATCTTCATTTTTCTGACTGTTTGAATGAGCTACGCCCTGGTGATAACATTGAGATTCAATGGAGAAGAAACAAAGAATTCCCTTATGGTTAGTTCTTTGTACCAATCCCTTGCATTATCTCAGGAGTTTTATTTTGTTTTTATCCAAAGTTACTTGGATTGCTATCCTGTGGAGGCTTTTTAAATTTATTTCCAAAATTTTCCTACAATTTGGGTTGGATTAAGAAGAAAAGAAGTGAAAACCGTGTTTCATGAACCTTCAAGTAAGAACTACTGCAGTGTCCAGAAAAATAATTTCACATACATATATTTAATTTATTCTTTTTTAAAACATAAAGCATAAATAGCTACTCAACCAACCAATCGATGGTTGGCTCAAGTGGTAAAAAGAGTATGTTCCTCTCTTTGTTGCCTGGCTTCGAATCCGCTGGGACATTGTGAAAAATTCGCTAGGCCTGGCATATATAAGCCTACTTGGAATGAACCGAGAAGGGGATGTATTTGATAAAGCCGAACAACCCCTTTGCTGCTTAATCAAAACAAATATTATCTTAATTTCTTTGATGAGTTGAGGAAATATTTTAATTATAGAAAACAATTATTCTGCTCTGATAAGAATTAAGCAGCAGACAACTTTTTATAGAAAGAATTCTGAAGCATGTATTGTTCAAACCACTCTTCTGCAAATACTTTAATGCAATTGGTTTGCCAACAGATTACTTTTAAATAATCCATATTATTTTTCTTATGATGATTCTATCGCTGATAAGATTGCCATGTACATTGCAGGTTGGTGGTATGGGGTAGTTGGTCACTTGGAATCATGTGACGGGAATGAAAATTACTGCCGTTGTCATAATAGTGGTAAGTTGATCTCATATTTTCTTCTTTGAAATGGCACTTCATGATATTCTATAGGATTATCTAGAAATGGGAATCTAACAACCAATTGTGTCTAGAAATATTGCTTTGGTGCTGCAAGCATCCCATTTTATCTGCCTTTTAAGCTACTCCGAGGGGCATATATTCTGTATCTAAGATGACAATACAAAATGGAAAAATTTTCTCTTGTTTTGAAGAAATTAGCTTTCATGGAGGACACCCAGTTTAGGATAGGTCGTTTTCATGAATCTCATTTTTCCAATACATGGGCCACAGGCTGTGCTGTTCGGTTGGTCCCCAAAGACAAATCATTGTCATTATGTCATAATTTCCACCAGCATTATGATAACTTCTGTCTCACGAGAATATTTTGGCCAAGCATACTGAAAGAACCCAATGTCTCCTACGGACTTTGTTTTTTTGCATATTTGGAATCTTTCAGCCATGTGGGGCTGCAATGATTGTTCTACACTTCTAAATTTTCATTTATTTTCTGTCTTTTTCCACAAGTTCGGAAACCAACAGAGCTCAAATGTCCCACTGGACAAGTTACATCAGCACTAATTTCCTATTCTCTCTCCATAACAATAAAAGAAAGAAAGGGTCTCGTTTGGTAATCATTTGCAACTTGAGAAAGCAGAGTGCTGCACATTTTTTGCATTAAATAGGAGAAACTGCACATTTGTTGCACACTAATTTCGGGCAATTTTCTTGATTCATTGTCTACTTGTACTAGTATTTATGGTGGAACAAACGGCAAAAATGAAAGATACGGTTCTTTGCAGTTGCAGGCAGTGTAATGATGTTAAAATAAAAGCTTCAATTATTGCTATTCAGTTGAATATACAGTGTTAAAATCCTGCATCATAATTGATGTTTGAGTTATTGCTTGGTTTCTGATATCTGACTGATGCTAACAGACACGGTGCTGTTAGAGTTCAATCATTACACCCCTGGCTCAAGGTGGAGACGCACAACAATCAATCGGAAAGACCATCGAGAGGAGGGAAATGAGGCAGATGGATTTTATGGGGGAATCAGAAAACTTAGCAGTGAGGAAGAGATTTCTACATGGAAGCGGCTCTGGCCATCTGAAATCCTGGAATAGCCTTCTGCATAAAAATGCATGCTAATGTCACCATGATTTAAATACAAATGGTCTATTTTCCTTCCAACTAGGCAAATTGATCAAGTTTCTGCTCCATAAATGGTGCTCCTGGAAATTGAGAATCCACTTCAAAGTTGCATGAACATGGAGTTGAGTTCATGTAAAATCCCTCTATTTACTTGGCATATCCCACGATTATGACAAGTGTTTGTTGAAAATCTTTTGGAACTTGGAAGCCCGTTGATTATTGAAGGAATAGAGAATGGCAACTTTATGAAACATGAAATGTATCCTGTAGAGCTCTGAAATTGTAAAAATTATCCTTTGTTTTCCAGTCTTTGAAATTTGTTGAAGCATTTTATTTTTTTTCTTATATAGGTGACATAGGGTTACATCATGAAAAGTAGTCTTCTCATCTTAGAATTTGAACTTGAAATCCTCAACATGAGTCTTACTAAATTTAAGAGAATTTGCTTTTGTCTATGATCTCTTTCTTTGTTGCACGAATACACACAAACACCCAGCTAAAAACAATGTTCCAATAAAAGAAAAATATAAAATAAGAAAAAAAAAAAGCTCCACACAATTGGTGACCCTTTTACTGCACATATTTAGCACCGGAACCAAGCAACGACTTAGGTTATACTGTATGAGTGTCTTTCGGGTCACTTCAGACACCCTCTCTCGTCGTTGTATTAGGTTAATCCCATGGCTTAAAGCTAAATTTCCTTGTAATATTAGGCCTTGACTCTGTTGCATTTGAACCTTTAGGCTTGTCCTCTTTGCTTATTTTTCTCATGGATCCATACCCAAAATAGTAAGTTCTTGATTTTCTGGTTCTTGGTTTCCTTTGTAAAAGTTACTCCACTTTCTTTTGCACTCTCTCCTGCCTAGACATGGCAATTCGTAAAAGTTCTTTGATTCTCTGGCTCTTGGTTTCCTTTGAGCAAGTTATTCTACTCAAAAAAAAAAAAAAGTTACTTCACTTTCTTTTGCACTCTCTCCCTATTATATCTCACGATTCATATATTTTATGTAATATAAAATATTAATAATTTATATATTTGTATTATATTTTAATTGTATCATGATTTGTATTTATACAAAAAATATAAAATATTTTTTTATCCATTGAATAAATGATAGAAATTAGAGTGATAGACTTCGAACTTTCACTTTATATAATTTTTTAAGTTTTTTTAACCATTAAATTAAGACATTGAAGACATTCTTTTATTTTTAATCACCTCATATTTTTACTTTTATTAAATAATATATGATTTTTAATAAAATTTTGTATCATATTATTTTGTTTTTTTTATATTATTTTTATGTAATACTCTCGTACCATATTATAAATTATTAAGTATTCATCTCTATGCTGTTGGAGTTATTAAACTGCGCCTTACGGGTTTTTCATGCCCCACTTTTACAATACTTGCTCGTTTGCAAAAGGAGCTCCCTTGGTTCTGCCAACTTTAATGAGCTTTTCCTTGCTCGTTTCACCTGTTATGGATTTGCCTGTTTTTGTTTGGAACCCACATCGAAAAGGTTGGGTCATTGCTTTCTAGCCTCCTGTTTAAGTTGCGCTCTGATTGGTGCCTTGGTAATTCGAGACCCATTTGTTTGATTTGCTGCTGGCTTGAGCCCAAGAATTCATTGGTTCCCTTGGGGCCTATCTCCCAAATGGTGACATGGACAGAGCCCGTCTATGACTTCGCCTAGATTTCCCAACTTTTTCTTGCCATTCTGCAGAGCTACCGTGAACGGATAAAAAATCATCATTCAACAAGCTCGTACGTTGAAATGGAAGTCTTAGGACACCAGTTGGCGACCTGGGGGATGATAAAGTTGAGCTTTGTTTATCAAACTTCTTGTCATCGGGATGTTGAAGACGCGGCGGAGGCTTCAGGGATAGCACGTTCCCATCAGAAAACAGTTCATCAGCAAATGCCATGGCAGGAAGTGACTTCTTAACTACGATGATTTTGATGTGGCTCCTCCACTTAGGGCTCAGCCTTCTGCTCTGTTTTAACTTCATATTTACCAACATCGAAACGATGACTAGTTTCAAACTCGAACTCATCGACATGGAAACTTGAATTTATTGATAGTTTAAAATGTAATGTATTTTATATTGGATAAAAAAATTTAATAATTAATGAATAAAATTAATTTTTATATTAATTTTACTTATATTTTAAATAATTATATTTGAATAGAAATAATTATTATATGATAAATGATCATAACTATTTGAATATAAGGAGGTTATTATTTACAAAAATCATGATTATATAGAATGTTATAACTATCTGAATAGAAGTTTATGTCTGTTTATTCATTATAAATAAATCTTTCAGTACAATCATTCTTATTACTTCTGATTAGAGAATTTGAAGTTTTATTATATCCTAAAGGTATAATTACTTTTAAGAAAGTAATCTTCACACCTCAAAGCCAAAATTCTTTTTTACTATTCCTCTTCTCTTATTTATTTTTTTTAACAATTTAAAAGTAATTATGAGAAATTTATATTTCGTACAAGGAAAAAAATATGTATAATTTGGAGATCAATATTAGAAGAGACTCAAGGTGTCAAAGGATTAATGTTTTTATAAACCAAAATATTAATTTTCATAAAAATCTTTATTAGAGATATGTATTTTATTTTTTGCATAATTATCAGTAAAAAGATTGACTGAATGAGATAAATACATTAATAATTTATTTCATTAACATGTAAAGTCAAAACATAATCTGCAAAATATTGATTACATTGTATAAGTGTATGCATATACTGAAATTAACTTCATAATTAGGTTTAATAAATTGTATTATATTTATTTGAAAAATCGATACTTATAAAGATTGAGATGGGAAATGGCTTGAAAATATAAAAGAGAAAAACATGAATTGATTTACAAATAAAATAATTATCACTTGTTATCAAGTAATGAATTAAATTGGGTTCTAATTGAATGACGATTGTTTAATTGTCATATCTTTGTTATATATAGAACTGGTAAATTGTTCCATGGTTTCAACAAAAAATAATTGAAAATGGGTAAAAGAATTTACCATGAAAAATTAGATGTAAGTGAATAATAATGTAGAAAATAAGATTTAGTTGCAAGATTAATTTTATTTTTAAATCATAGCACCAAAATTAAGATAATAAGTTGAGTCAAGTTATTTACATAGTTCTATCTTTGTTGGTCATTTATAAATCAAAGGTTGATATATATATATAGTTTATTATTAGTTTAAATTTTGACTAGTGTTCAATTTTCATGAAAACCAATTAAATTAAATTGATGTATATGAATAATTATTATTAAAATATGGTGTTTCATGGATTAATTGGTGGATAATAAACTAAATCATTGTTATTATCAAAAACATCAGCAATGTGACATGTATTTTGCATGCTGGGTATATTACATTAGAAGTAATTTTACAAAATAAAATTTTATTATGAACAATCACAAAGAAAAAGTTTAAGGTACAATTCAATTTATGTTTTGATGGCCAAAACAAGTAAGACAAATAAACTCAAGAATTTTGAATATAAATGTTCATGTTGTATTACTATGATTGACGAAACTGACTAACAAAAGGTAGAAGATTAAAGAGATGCTTGTTTAAAAAGAAAATATCAAACTATTATAACTATGAGGTTTATAAAGGTTTAGGTTTTGAAATATTATTTCCATTAATGATAGCATTTATAAATTATTTGAATTTATAATATAATAAGTTAATGCAAGTTTATTATATGCAATGAATATATAATTTCATGAAGAATTGTGGCTGGTGGTAATGTAAAATACATTAAGTATGTATATCTATAGCATCATTATATTTTGTAAATTTTATGTTAGTATCACTAACTAAATTTTGGCCAATAATATGGGTTAATTAGATGATTGATTAAAAGAAAAGGTATGTCATTAAAAAATATTGAAGTATTTATGGGTTACCAGCATTTTGAAAAATGTTCATCAATGTCTAAATTAGTTATTTTTATAAATTAGAAAAAAAATGCAAATTCAATGTTCCAAATGCACCAATACATGCGTATATCTAATTTCATTTTTGTGATGGCATGGAGAGCATTTATACAATTTGTCATATATTATGAAAATGAAATGAATGGGATGAAATTTTCTTTCCTATATGTTAAGAAAGATATGGACTATGGAGATAGAATGTCATCATTAAATTAATATATTATTGATTAAAGACAATAAAGACATTTTTGCTTCTTGTACCCGAAAAAATGATTTGTGGATTATTATGGTTGGTTTAGAACAGCTTTAAGCCAAAATTGATACCACAATCTTGGTCATATTGTGGTAATTTTTTGTTTAGTATATGGTCTAATTTATGGATTGTACAAATGATTTATCATCTATGGTTTTATATAGTGAAATTTTCAAAGTATATTTACTTTGGAAGCCATGAGTGATTCAAAGTTCTTATGATTTTGAAAACTTTTATAATAGTAAAAAAATGCTATTTGATCCATTTGGGTGATGGAAATGGTTTTGCTTATGGTAATAAAAATTTTTTTTAATAGTGTTTATGATGAAATAGATTCATATAAATATTTATGAATTGACATAAAAGTCTTAAAAAGAGACTATAGAAGCATGATTATATTTGAAATCAACTTATTGATGTAAACTCTTATATTGAGTTAAAATATTAAAGTTTTGAAACTTTTATTGAAATATTAAGATATTAGCTAATTATCTTTCACTAAGGGAGGATTCGAAAGCCTCTTACTTAAAAAAAATCATCAAATAATGAAAAGATAAATGAAATTGAAACTTGATTAAGTATAGATGATATCTTGACCATTGAATGAGATATTTTTTAATAAAAGAATGCATACTTGCACATGGTGGAGATGATAAGAATCAAAAGAAATAAAAATTACCACTATAGTGTTGTAAGATTTCAATATAATTTTATGAGCAAATTATATAAGCTAATAAGTTTAGACACTTATCAAAGTAAAATCATAAAAAGTCATTAAAAATCTTAAAAGGACTAAAATGATTTGGTTTGTTCATTGAATTTATCCAAATGTACTAGAAGTATAATTGTATTAAAGATGTATAAAAGTATGAAAATAGAATGGTTGAAATTTATGAGTATAAAGTTGTGGCTACAACCAAAACCAACTATTTCTTAAAATGATAAGAAAGGGGTAATAATATCTAGAGCATATAAATGATATGCAAAATGAAAAATTTAGACATATTAGCCTGAAGTGATTATATTAGAGATTCAATCTCAAGTGGTGTAATTACCATCAAAGAAAATTGAATTACAAGATATTTGGTTAGAATACTATAAGTAGAATAGATTTAATTACTATTAGACACCAATAATGAAAACCCAACTTTGAATTAGTAACCTCTAATTACAAAGTTTAATAGGTAAAAATAAGTTATTGTTATGTGTCTGTTA